AGATTTTATTCAAAATCACAATGAAAGAACTTGCTTTTATTCCTACAGCAACCAACATTTGAATCTCAAGAATGTCTTATATAGACCAAGTCCAAGTGACTTGTTTGAATTTGTGCAGTCGCCACCAAATTAATATTCATTTATGAACAATTTTATGATCTCATCAACTTCTTACTTATCATTAATTGACGGATAAAATTTGACACACATAAATACCGTATCATATGATACACACACACACACATGTGTACACATAACCTTCCCATATCTCTCTCTCTCGGCCAACTCGGATTTCTTCCAGTTTTCAAGCAAAGCCCATCCCCCATCCCAACCGGTGATTTCCTCCTTCCTCAAGCACATTGTGTGGTGAGGGCCGAGAAAGATTAAAAGGGGGGGGGGCTGGCTAAGTTAGACTCTGCAGAGCTCAAGTAACCAGACCACAATTACTCTTTTAAGGAGTTGAATAAAACATGAATGAGTTCCATTGCAAGATCGTGCCTTTGTCAAAACGTCAGAGCCATCATCTGTGCAAGAGGCATCCTGTTAAATGAACAAGTGAAAAGGTAACCTGTATTTGTCCATTACCTGTTATAAATAGCATACTTAAAAGCGTCAACACAGGGAAAAAACCCTAGTGACGTAGCACTCAGGAAATGCGAGGAAGAAATAGACCCAGAAATAAATGGAAATACAAAGTGACAGGCCACCACCTACATAATTACAAAAAGTTGAGATTGGTTCACATAGCGGTACAGCTTCTAGGTTTAAAACAGCTGGCCAACTACTTCTTTTGCAGGAAAGCAGACTTTGGCGCAAAAAAACGGCTGACCTTAATTGCATACTTTCAAAGTTGTCAAAAAATTAAGCAGGCGAATCTTAATTTGACCAATTTAAAGGGAAAGATTTGCACAAAAATTGTTTAACAAAAATTTGATTCGTCAAAATAAAAACTCTCCGATGTCCTCGACTTTATTCGTCAATATTACGGATGATATTACTTCGCATTTCCAGGGTGAACTCTATGCACTAACTTAGCATCCATTTCTTCCTGTTTGCAGCTCAGCCGAATATCCTGTCTGCCCTCTAAAAATGGTAGAAACTTAAAGAGGAAAGGACGAAGTGAACATCGAGGAAAATTGAACTTCCAACTAAAGCCATCAATCTGTTTCCTCCTTGGTAAACTCAGCTTAAAATGCAAAGTGGGTTTAATAGTTCCCGCCCAACACATGGAACCGTTCTCTGCGTCTAGCTATTTGAGCGTAAAATCGGAATTTATGCCAAACAATAAGAAATATATCAAAGTGAGAAAATGACTTGGCGCTTAGGGAATTACGGCGACAAGAAAAGCCTCAAATCCGAATTAGAGCATAAAAGTTATGGAAACAATATAATTTTTTATATTTTCTGGTGAGACTATAGAAGTTACTTTTTTAATTTCAAAAGGACGTTGACTTTTTAACTGAAAACAATGCAAATCTCAGCAAGTTTAGTTGAAAATTTGTAAAATGAATTCGCTAATTTCCTTGGTGAATTTTTTCAAAACTGAGAAAGAACTAAATAAACCGTTTTAATAGATGAGGCAAGCTCGTGAATTTTCCCCTCAGTATTGAACTGCCAAGAAAGATATCACTTTAAGATCCTATTTAAGATCATTTGATTTCATACTTTAAGACCATTGCCCTTAAAATAACCATAAGTACAATTTTTCTCTAATAGTAACTGCTATGAAAGAGCGCATTCATTAGAAACTGATCATTCACACTCGTAGGTGGATTTATTCTAGAAGGCAAGAAAACTAAAAGGAGAACTTAAAGAAGTTTAAACATTTAAAGTGAAAATAAACATATTTACACGTAAACGAGTAACATAATTTTAGATATAACTAACGAACTAATAAAGTGTGTCGTATGATTTGTGTTGAAACTCAATAATTTTAAATTTGGCTTTAAAGGAATCAATTTAGATGACTGTTCTAGAGAAATACCGAACTTAAGCAAGAAATAATGCCCGTTTGTGATAGGCTACATCGAATAACTAAACCATATACCTCACAATTCTTCATGATTTACATCCGGGGTTCAACCAGAGTAAGGCCAATTACAATCAACTACGTTTGTAAAACAAAGAGTGAGACATGTGAAATGTTAATTATAACTCTTACAATGCCTAATTGAATATTCTGCATTGGATTATCGACTAATGTATTTTTACGCTTGAATCACGATAATATATTTATTGGCTAACCCGGAAGTCAATCGGTTGTCTCTTATCCAATCCCACGTGTATAATTGGGTCCTGTTAATAACAGAAAAAGGTCGTTTGAGCAAGAAATCAACCTTGAGCCTAATCAGCGTGTATCTATATAAAGGGAAACTGAAAAGTTGCTGACAAACGTTTCAGACCTTCGTCTAAATCTCTAGGCAAAGCAAATTTGCATTTATTAATTAGTCATACACATTGCGCAGTTTGGACCAAACCATTCTTTCACATAATTACTGTTGCATCCACTTATTAACTTGATCAACAATTAGAAGCTAAAAGAGAGAAATGGATGTTTTGTTTACTGGGTATAGTAAATCAACGAACAAGTTATAGGCCAGTATGATTGCACAATTTGCTGCGCAGATTTGTTAGCGATCGATTGTGCGTGAGTTGATTATCGGTTTATTGGTTTTGTTTGTCCAAAGTGCAAATAATAAAACATATTAACTATTGGTTTAATAATTCTGTCTAAAATAGACAGAAAAACTAATAAATTACAATTCCAATTTTATGCTCTCAAAATACGTGTAAAAGTGATTTTTTATTATTTCATCCACAATTATTGCAATTTATTGTTAGCAACGGTGATTAAATATTGCAATTTTAAACTATGCGAAGTAGTTGAAAACACTTTAGAGAAAGTAGAACAAGAGTTGTAGACCGAAAAGATTATGTGGGACAATGCCAGGAATTCAAAGAATCTTGCTTCATTCGACGTTGTTCAATACTTATCAATTAGGTAGTGCATGCGCTGAAATACCGATTACATGATTCGCCACATGCAAATGCTGGTCTGTGATGTTCAGTGCCCAATTGGCAATGTATTGAATCAAAAAAGAGTTGATCCTGGCCTCTGATTTTTGATTATTGATATGTCAAAATGTTTTTAGGTGGATATTTAGTAGCTTACAGCAGCTTTTGTTCAGCAGAGCTCTGCAAACCACGCCCAGCAAAACTGAGAACAACTTAATATTTGAAATTACCCATCAGCCGTAATCAAATGGGAAACTGTTTTAAGACAAATTTATATCATTTATAAAATTGAAATTTATTTCGCAGTGGAATTTCTAGTGTACAAAAATGCAACAATGAGTGCAAATGCAATATCTCAACTTGTTTTTTCATCAAGTCTGTGATAAAGAAAATTAGCAAAGAACGTTAATATTCTCTACAAAGCGATATGTAACATACCAGCTATTAAAGTATATAAACAAATGCTGCCAACGTTACTTACACAGTATTCTAACTTAAGATAGGATGAATAATAAAAAAATAACTTTATTTAATTAAAGGAGTGATTTTATCAAGGTAATTAATAAATGTGAGTTCATCTCGGGTGAACACAGCTTACGGAGAACAGCTAGGTTACAAATTTTATCTCACCTAAGCTAAGAATACCATGTAAGATCACTTACACTCTAAATCATTGGAAATAAATAACCATTTGAGGCTAGATCGAGCCTTCTTGATTAAATGATACTAATCAACAAGTCCTTCGTATCGTAAGCAAGCATTTTGCTGCAACCCAAGAGGGAACTGGTAAAATTGGTATTTTGGAACGTGAAGTACCCATCTTAGCAATGTTGCAGGATCTAAGTCTGAGAATTGAATGAAGAGGGACGTTTCGATCCCTTGTCTATGATCCCTACATCTTTTTGATTCCTACCTATTTAACATCCATTACCCTACTGTTGTTATTCCATGTTAGTAATTCTTCAAAAAATTAAATTTTATTGACTTTTTATTAGTGAGGAAAGTAGTAATATACTTGGGGTACCATAATAGTCGAAATTTCACTTTAAGCCGAAATTGGAGTGCGGTGTAGTTTAAACGAGTTTGTACGATTTGAAATTCTGATGTAGAAATCAAGAAAGTGAAAGATTCCTTGCAGACAATTTATGCAACAATGCTCTAACTATGAAATTATTCATGATCTCAATATTGTCTATTCCATGCCTAAATAATACGATCTTGATTGTTTTGAACAAGAGTTGATTTTAATATGCGTTTTAAATGTGAACTCTAAATCGCTTAAATCTTAGACCTATGGCAAAGCAATTTATCATTCACAAAATCATTAAAAAGGTCCTATATGTATTCAACAAAATTTGGCAAGTCTACTTAGCAATTAAAGGTCAGGGTTACAATGTCCATATGGAGTTGATCAATCGTGCATGCCATAGCATTTGATATTAGTTACCCACCTGCGTTCTCGCATATTCGGTCAACTAATAATCAACAGTGTTGAGTTCACTAATGATTTGACAAATCAATTCTGATATCGAGTATTGGGTAAGTGATTAGAATCCCTTTAGTAAGAATGTTTACACCCGCGCTTTATTTGTTAATTCGTAAATTTAAGTTTATCAAATTGATTGTAAAAGCATATTATCGATTTTCTTTTCAGTTTATTGCAAAGTTCAACTTAGAGGTACTTAAACCTAGAAAATTGGATTTCCTTAGAGGTCTAAGTTGAACCAAATTTCAAAAGTTTGCACTCGTATTACTCAAGCCAGACACCAATTTGCTTAAAATGACCTTAGGTGTACTTATTTCTTTAAGGAAAATACGACTTCAAGTGAAATTAATGAAACCACCGACTGGACTACAGTTATTACAGATTCAGATCTTATAAAGCTGTAAACAATAAACATAAAAAGCGATCAAATAGCACTAAGCAAATTCAAACTGAAGAAGTAAAAATGAGCGTAAAATAATAACAATAATAATTCTTACAATCAGAATGGTGACAAACTAACCTCCTGCAAAAGGTCTTGCGAATCAACGTCACGTAAAATGCTTTCTTTGCTAGATTCCTGCAGCTCACCACAAAGAATTAATTCGTCTAAAACGAAGTAGGCTTTCTCAAAATGGAAGATAATATCTAGTTCGCAAACCTAAAAAGAAAATTAAAAGGTAATGTAGATGTCATTTGACCTCGTTAATAATTCACATAAGTCCACACCAATATAATATAATAGCACCAATTAAGCCTCTTCAAATGTTAAATAAATAAAATAGGGGTTTTGAAGTAATGTTAACATAGCCGATCGATGAAAATAAGATTAATACATAGTGTCAAAATAGTTTGAAAAATTCAAAATAATTATGAATTAATATCAGTTAGAAATTGAATTTGAATCATAATGAAAGTAATATGCAAAGACGTTTAGACATACTAAATAAGAAAAATAAAGTTTCAAAAACCAAACCTTATTATACTCAATTTAGATATTAAGAATTCCATTAAGAGACTTACACTTCCGAAGTAACGATCAAGAATTTCCACATATCGATGAATTATTTCCAGAGTTATTAATTCATTGTCTTCCGGATCCACTGCACAGCAGAAATATAAACTCGCATATCTAGCAAAATATCGTATTTTCAATCAAGTCTTACCTTCGATATACAATTTTCTTATCCCTCCAATCCAAGACCGAACACATTTTTGGTTTACGACTTAGTAGTACAGGAATCAAATCCCGCATTATCTTCTTCTTATCCTTCTCTGGATATGAAAGATACCATTTTTGAAGTCGAACCTTGCCCTGTCGGCTAAATAGAAGGAAAAACTGAATCTTTTTCAGATTAAGATTAAATATCACTATTACCATCTAATTAAATGCCTCAGGGGTCTTGTTTACTTAAAATGCTGAGCGCACTAGCAAATTCGCTACGCTTCCAAGAGCAAGCTCAGAATAAATTATGTCAATTGAAATAAATACACTAAGTTCAACCTTGAAATTGACATGAGTAAAACTATTGAATAGTTAAAATTTTCGTTAATTAAGCATGATAAATAGAAATTTTACTAAAAAATTAACAATTTCAATCAATATTACTTTAAGTTTCTTTCACGTTTATGTTTAAATAGTTAAAGCTTGATATTTCAAACCCTTCCGCATAGGTAATGGAAAATATTTATTGAATTAAGTATGTAATGATGAAAATTGAGTATTGAATAACTGGAAAATTATTAACTTTTTTGTCCTGGGCCTGATGTTATTATTGATATAATCACAATTTATAAAAGTATATAAATTGTCCTTTTTCAAGGCAATTAAAATTAAACGATTCATCAATAAATAATGTTAGTATTGTGCTTGATGGACACGGCGCAATGCATTAGCCCCCTTATGAAAAATTATTTTTCCATGAAGGGCTATTCAATCTCTAGTATTGTTTCTAGGTATGCATATTTAGGAAGTGAGGTGTGCGAGACTTACCTCCACGTTGTGCATCTTGGGCAACGTATACTCATACGGCAAAAGTCCATAAACCGGGAGTCGATATCTGACTTTAAACTACCATCACCCCACCGTATGCCATGTTCGACTACTTCCTCAGTATTCACTTCACCGTTTTTCTACCTTTGTGTTTGTCTCTTTTACACTTTTGAAACATTCTTCTGTTTCCTCCCCCTCTCGACATTTTTTTCAGTTTGATGTTCTTTCCCCTCTGTGAAGCCCGAAGTCAACTAAGGGGCTAATGATAACTATCAAAACACCTGCCATTTAATTTAAATAAAATAAATATTTAAGAAGCGTCAGCAACTTGACCTTTTTAAATAGTTATCTTAAATAAAATAAGAATAAATTCCAATTTCCTAGTGTTTCCGTGGTACCATATTTTTAGGAAGACTTAATTGAGGTGAATCCAAACATTCTAATTTAATAGGCAATTGAAATTCCAAATTTTGCAAACTCCATGTCATCTAATTCATGTCATTGAAAATGGTGCAATTGACCAAGGTGAATGTATGCATTAAAACTTATCATGGTATTGGCCCAGTGCGTAGGCATAAGATAACTCTTGCGCAATCGGGGTCCTAACTGCCAAGTGTGCCTCCTTAATTTTTACTCATTTTTATTTCATAAGCATCTTCATCGCAGTAAACATCAGTTGGAAAGCCATTGCCGCCTATTATCAGGGATTATTAAATTTGGTTTGTGTACTTGAATAGAAGCATCCTTTGAGCATCCTTGATGCCCGTTTTCTGATGTTCACATCTTGCACGAATTCTCGACATATTATTCTACATATAAAATCAATGGTGGCCGAGCGACTGCACATGATAAAACCGATGGCAGATTTTACGTTACGGAATAAAACACAATGTAAATCACACTTCCTCTCTGAATTAGGAAAGGCTAGTTCGTCTTCATTATTTCCCATTTTTGCATCACCCCTTCATCATCATTAGTCCATAGAGCTCCGCCTTGCTGAAGTACAGTGGGGACTTAAGTCATATATGATTATCAGATCACTCATGCAATTACGTGAATTCAATGTAAATCGAGAAAACTACCTCAATTTATTGGCAGAAATGATATCAATATATGGCTGTAGTCTCTGTTCGATTAAAAGCGGATTTGCAATTGTGGTGGAACCTCGTTATTATCGATGCTATCCTCATCACCAGATGTTAACGGGCATTTGTTGGTTATCGCATCTGACACATCTCATGCTTATTCAATTCGATATCTCTATCACAACTAGTAATGGCTGACAAATAGCTCCTAATATAGGGTAGATTGGCGTTGGTTAGAAAAATAAACCGAAAACGTTGGCGCCGCCACAACTTTTTAAAGTTGAAATTAAAATCGTCAATCTAATACATACTAGATTTGGGCACCCAATACTTGTGCAATAAAACATTTGGGCAAAATACGCAATATTTTACTGATCATATATCAAAATGCTTTTACTATACACGTCAGTTGTAATAAATACTACGGAGTTCGAAATGTGCAGGAATCGAGTTTACAACTTATTTCCATCTCCAAAATAATTAGACATCAAGTAAGTCATCAAAGGTGAGTCCGAAGGCAGAGCCAGCTTCATTTTTTCCTCGAAAGACGCAGCCTGATCGGATATGTTAGTTATTCGACAGTCAAGGGGTATACGACCTAAAGTGAAAAATCGTATAACTAATCTAGAAAAGGATCATATTTGCTGTAAATTTAAAATAAATATCTTCATCATGCATAAATCGAAATCATGCCAAACACTTACACATTAAGGGCCGAACGAATAAGCGATTATCGACGAAAGTTTACACACTTAGTAATTAGGCGAAACGCAAACCAACTACTAATAATAACCCCCAAGCCCAATTAAAAAGGTGTTTTCTTGACCCCATCTTCGGAGGGAAGAATGTCAATATGGAGCTCATTTGATGACGGACTCGAATTCTGCAGCCTTCCATACCAGAAGTCGGTTGGGCATTGCGCTCATTGGGAGGGCACCAATGGACAACCTACATGACGCAGTAACATTGTGTTTACAAAGCCCCAAGTCTTTAGGCCACACACAAAAGCACCAAAGTGAGATCATTGCACACAAAACCTGCAACACCGGTAATGCTCTTAATAGTACATCGATAAATGCAAATTTGGAAGAATCGACGCACGGTTCAAGACATTGTCTACGTGATTACTAACTGGGGATTTTCCAATCGTTTCATGCTTAACTTTAAAACAACTGTTCCAGAAAATTTGTTTTTAATTTTACGCTTCTGATTAGCAATCAACTTCCAATCCTCTAAAAAATTATTAGTCGCTTTGCCAAATGCAAACGCAAAAGTACTTTTTTAAGATTAGTTTAAGCAACTTAAAAACCTTTAAGGTACTAGTACCTAGTCATGTGTATCTTGCATAATTTTGAGCTAAATAGTAGATCTTCGACAGAAATAACAAATTTCAACTACTACCACCAGTAAACACGGGTCAAAATAAGGTGTTTCATGTGATATTAGAACAATAGAGCACTGACCTGACCTCCTGATCAAATGATGAGGATGCAATCGATATTTTCCAACCACAAATTAAGGACAAGTAAAAATGTATTTGTGAATCCGAGAAATCCACAATTCCATAACATGATCTGCGAATGTGGCAAATACACATGATCCTCCTCAAATCAAGATTATTTTTCCAAAAAATGGGGAGATCGTTAATCCAAATGATCAAGAAATGCCGGAAAGAATGCACAAACAGAGCGATTAAACATAACCCACCAGCAGTTCCAGTCAGAAAAGTATTATGCAACAATCAGCTTTCAAAGATGGCTAGAATCGCAGACAAACACGAATTGTACTACTCCGTGCACCTCCCAGACTCAATTCATGTGTTTAATCACTCACCAGGCTTTACTATTGAATGAAGGGTATTTAGAAGATTTAGAAGAAATTCGACGAAACGTAGTGTGTGGGCTAACTCTGATACCTAAATTGGAGCTATTAAGATACGAATAATATCAATCGGTGAGCAGATGAAACTGAGAAGATCAGTAAAAGACATATTTATCCAGTAACAAACCATCACTAGTACTCAAATATCTTTTTAAGGAAAACTCAAAACAAGAAGACAGAAAACTTCGGCTCTAACATCTTATATTCAGGTAATTGTTTATTAATCGTGCTGCAACCAAAAAAAATAAATGACAAAAATCGGCAATAACGTACCCAGAAAATCAATGCCCCTTTCCTTCGCAAGTGCTTCAACTCCTCCGGTAGCGAATAGATAAAGTGATTCCCCGCAATTGGGGCACTCAAATCCACTCATATTTTCAATTAATCCGATAACAGGAAGACCAAGCTTTGTGCAGAATGTCAACTGTCTCCGTATATCGCAAATGGCGACCCGCTAAAATCGTAGACCATGATTCAAAAGCGATATATATGTATGTATCAGAAAGACAACAAACAGAAATGCGATTTGATATTTAACGCAAATGTCATATCATTTGGCCAAAATGGCATGAGTGGTCAATCCCCTCCCCTCCCTCCTACCACCACTGTTGAGGTGTACTATACACAGATACCTCCCAAAATATCCATAAATCACAGAACTTAATAAAAGTACGTAAATGGCTTAAAGGTAGGCTTCACTCGAAGATTAGGCATAGCAACGACCCCCTAAGTTAGGACATTTCAACAAATGTGTAAAGTTAATAACCAACAAAAAGTGGTTTATTTAGTTTTTATTCCCTTTTTAACCAACACAGAGAGAATGAGGATCCTAAAGAGACCACAAAATGTAATTGCTATTTAAGTGCGAGAGATGAACAGTGAAAAAATGTCCGTCTACAAAGGAGAGGTGAACTTTGCAGAACTACTGATTCTCCAATCACTAGTATTACTACGCAGTCAGCTAAATACAATGAAAAGAGAAGAACCATCGGTAATTTACAATAGACATATGTTAAATGGGAATTGTTTAAATGTTTAAAACATTTATAGAGAAATTGCCATAAGACAGTAAGAAATATTGCTATATCAACTTTAAAATAGGGAAGAAAAGAGTATGAGAAAGTAAATGAACTCAAAGAAAACAAGATATTAAATCTATGAATATTGAAAATAAACTCACTGACATATATGCAAAACGAACGTGATACGGCATACCAATTACACTTACTTGTGGCGTACTGACAATAATAGCTCCACGAAGAGCATTACTGGAATACTCTCGAATCTTCTCCACCACCGATATATGTTCATCTGAAGTCCCCGGTGGGGTGTCGATTACGAGGGCGTCTAACTGACCCCATACCACTTTGGAGAGGAACTGATCAATCATGGAATTCTTTCTGGGACCCCGCCAAGCAACAGCAAAATCCTTCTCCTTAAGGAGGAACGCAATTGACATGACAAAAATGTTTTTGTCAACTGTATTTGCTACAACGGGCAACCAACCTTCTGGACATTGTTGAACCTAGAAATTGGGTGAGAAATGGTTGATGTAGTTTATATGTTGAGCTTTCCATTCTGGACTTCAAGTAAAGCGTGATTGCCACTAAGAAACCGTCTCTTGGCTATCTCCCATGTCGACAATAAGAGAGGCCGGTAATATGTGAATCTACAAATCAACGAAAAATATGGTCTACATTTAAATACAGCTCCAGATCTAATGACAATCTCAAGTGGATTGTGGAAATTACTACGTCATCCAAAACAAGAACCAGCCTCTCTATCTTCAAGTAGTGCAGGTCAAACTGGAAAGGAAGCTAAACTGTAGCATGATCTACAAGGACAGCAATATCTAAAAGCAGCTTAGTTTGAAGATAAAAGAGTTCAATCTATTTGATCTCGATTGGCTTTTAAAACTTGATAATTTTGACAGACCCATGTCATTCGCAATAGTGTACATTCTGATAAGTCAACTTCTTCATTCACAGCTGAGATGAAGGTCATGCACACGCTATTTTTCAGTTATTAATAGATACAAGAATATCGGGTCTCTCTGGTACTGTAGTGTAGAGAAACTCCAATCAAGTGCCATCGAACTTCATCAGTATGTTCAAAGGAACGCTTTTCTTCTTCGTACTGAGAAATGTATGTCTTCCCCTCTAATAAATACCGAGGAGGTATCGTCCAGATTGAGAAAATCTTCGGGCGATTGAAGAAGAGCCAAGACATACGGACATTAACAAACTACGTAAAATCCTAGATCTCATCTATTACCACAGTAATTTTGTTGAAAAGACACGAAATAGAACTGGAAGTCCTATTGCGAGAAAACGTGCACAGAGCTAAAGAACATGCTTCCTTTTCATTAAAGCCAGAACCTAGCAATGAGAGAGGCTACAGATCCTTCGAACTGTAGAGTTGGTGCAGTTATCTCTCACGACATCTCTGGTGGCTCCGAAAACGACTTTGGTTATGCCTCTCGAACTCTTATTTCAGCTGAGAACTACAGCCAGATTGAAAAAGGAGAGTATGGTCAACATTTTCGATGCGAAAAAATTCCTAAATTTTTCTACGATTAGAACTTAACGCTGCTAGCATATCATAAACTATTTTTCTTTATCAATTGCAAACTGCAAGGAGATTTCAGTATCAGTTGATTATCACTCTTAGCTATGATTTCAATGTAGAACTTCAGAACAAAACTAATTCACTCTCGATTCATCTAAAGCCAGAAATGTACTGAGAGAACTGTCATCGAAAACTTGCCAACGCCAATTATTTGGTTGTACGCAAGCTTCCCATAACTGCAAATATGCATGCACAGGATAGCCCAAATCATAGAAAAGGTATTTATGATCATGGAAACTCCGATTTAAATCGGTGACTAAGACTAAGCAAGCAAGAAATGAAATTTGAATAATAATAATGTTCGAAAAACCTCTTAATCAACAAAACAATCCTAAAATTGCAAGCCACAAAATATAAATGAGCATTGATAAGAGCGAATCAAACCCCACTAATATAATAGCCGCAAGTAAGTCAAACAAAGAATAAATTGAAGATTAATATTAAGACTAAACAGAATACATTCAAAACCAATTCCAAGTGCATAAACCGACATTACAAATAAAAGTATTGCAGTTATACAATGAAAATACTTACACTTGCATCGCAAAGTCCCATAATCCGAGGAACCGATGGTCCACAAAGATCCAAATCCAAGAGACCGACCTTAAGACCCTGTTTGCCCAAACCCATCGCCAATTGGCAGGCAATCGTTGACTTGCCAACGCCTCCTTTCCCGGAAGTGACAATAAAAATATTTCTTGTTTCTTCAACACCACTCTTCATGCTTGCTAGAAAACATTCGAATAATAATCAAATAGTGATGAGGCTGAAAAATGCAAACAAAAAGACAATATCAAGGAAAGCAAATAAAAAATTTATTCAAAGTTTCAATAAGGACGATAACGGCGATCATGAACAAGGGGCGGTGGTTCGCGAAATCTCCTTCGGCTACTGGATGGGGTAGCCAAAAGTGGCATTTTACTAGAAAGAACCGGAAATCCAGAGTATCCTCGCGGCTCATGCGTATAGGGAATTGAAGGAAAGGCAATTGGGGGATATCTATTTCTATCATCCGGTCGATCGTAACCGCGATGACGATCGTAACCAGATTCAGAACATGTAGGAGGTTGGTTATCAAAAGCATAAGGAGGATACTGTTTGATGGGAATGTCCGCAAACTTAGATCCCTGGCGTGGTTTAATTTTGAGCTCGTAATTGTATAGCCTTACGCCTTCAAAAAGGGAACATGAATACAACACTGATTCTTCATCTTCGAATGTTACAAAACCATAACCTCCTTTAAGAGAAACACTTTCTACAGGACCTGCCTGAAGGAAAAGCTCATAAACAATAACATCTGAGATGTCAGGTGGTAAGTTAGAAATGTAAAGAGTTCTGTCTATCTCCATAACACAAGCTTACACAAAACAACCTATCGTGAACTAGGGCAACAACCAACGCGCCAGGATCTTCTACATATAAACACAAACCAGTGTGCATATTGGGACATAAAAATCGTGCTCCATATTATAAAATTCATTTTCGACCCTATATAAATTTCAAAATCTATAAAATTATTTTTATTATTTTTTAGTTTGTGAAATATATCACAAAATTCAATACTTACTAATTGGATCAGACGGAAGATAGATATTTCAATCCCAAGTCGTGGATGGTATGAGTCTATAATAACTGCTTTATTTCAATTTCAGGAAAAGAAATGTCTTTATATTCAGCTTCAGTGATGGCATTAAATGTCACTTTTAATAAGCTTTATCTATTGTATTAATTTTTAACCCAAATTATGTAGCTTGCTCTAAATTTAAGACCAATGTCAGACAACAACCTTGGAATTTTTGGGCTTTACAAATGGTCTTCTTTATTTGCTCATTTGTGATTTATAATATAGATTCTCTATGTAGATGCCTTATCAGTAGTCTTTGGTTACAATCAATAAGCATTCATTTTCATTTCATTTTTCCTATTTGGATTTCAGTAATTTTCCATTTCGGTGATCTGAGCTAAATTTTTTGACCACCCTTTGATCTTCAATGCGTAATTTATACCCAAGATCGTATCCCTCGTTTTACTTTAGCTCATGTATCAAATTTTGTTTCAAGACTAACCAACATTCGACAGCAGTTTCTTCGTTATTTTCAACCCTTTGGTAATCATCCATTTTCCCTTACAATCACATCTGTCTATTAACTGTTTATTTACTCTTATCTCTCATCACCAACTCCTACCGATCGACTTCTACACTCAAACCCCTTCAGCAAGCTTATTTAAGTACCTAATTCCTGCTACCTAGCTCTCTCTTCCTGATAAATAGCATTTAAATTCTTTTTTAGCTAGAATCCATGATTAATTTTTGCTCTATGAAGTTGAGAGTATTTAACTCTAATCCCAGATTATTCTTTTGGATAACTCAGTCGGCGGTAGGAAGCGTTGATCTCGTGCTACCAAAAGTTTGTGTTTACTAACATTCCTTTTTGTGCCAGCTATCCATTTGTTCGAACTCACTCAATTAAAGATATTTGTATGGATCTGGTTTGTAGAGGATTGCTACACTAGTAAAGCCTTGACTGGCTCAAAAATCTCTGTGGCACAACCTCCTATATCTGGCTTGACTCCCAGATCTAGTTAAGCAACAGACCAGCTATAAACGTTTCGCACGGAACACGCTTATTTGGGAAGTATATCGTGATAGAAATGCACACGCCGGAAGGTTAGTGAAAATCATTATGCGGGTTCGATAAAACGAACGAAGACTTCTGACTGGCCATTGGTTGTGCTCGTATTTGATACGTATTTGGCGATGACGTGTCCCAAAGATTAATGTAAGGCTTATTCTAGTGTAATTTTTTAGAGAAGATTGCTTTAAATGCCTTTTTTCTAAAAGAAGTTAGTGATCCCATTTATTTATCCTATTGCCTCCCAAGTTCATATTTTAGATTTTGATGTCTTTGTTAGAGGGTGATGTCTGAAATTATTTTACTGGAGTATTATGATATTTAAGTACCTGCCAAGATGACGAAAAGCAGAGAGTTGAAGCAAGCCTTCATTTATTAGTCTGGTTTCCCCAAGATGTTATGTCACTCGAAGGTCATCTATACACCCACATACTTTTTATATCTCCTAAACACTTTGAGATTCAATTGGGGAATGGTCCTTTGTTCTAGTTTTCTCTCATGATGCTTACTAGTTATCAATTGTGTTTCTTTCTTAAGGACATAATCTGAATGCAAAGGGAACATCTACTACATCTACTACAAAAGTCAAATAAATACGGTGACAAAGAAGTACGATGGATGCAAGAATTCAACCACGAATGCATTACTCAAAAAGATTTTTTGTACATTTCAAATGGCAGACGTCAAGATAGTTATCATTACTCCTTTAGTTGACTTCAGGCCTAACAGAGGAGAGGAACATCAAAGTGAGAAAAAAAATCGATAATGGAAACAGAAGAGTGATTCACAGGTGTTAAAGAGACAGACAAACACAATGGTAGAGACAAGATAAGATGAGTACTGTGGAAGTTGTACAATATGGCATACAATGGAGTCATGGTAGTTTGAAGTCAGAAGTCAACTGGGGGTTTATAGACTTTTATGCCGTATGAATACACGTTGCCCAGGTTGCACCACATAGAGGTGAGTCTATCGCGCACCTCTTACTCAAAGAGATAGTAAAGTCCAAATGTCACATCACGGTTAAAAGTTTATTGCGTTACAATTGGTAATTTTTGGCTTTGTTTCGTGAGATATCCATTAACATCAAGTGCAATTGGGTGTTAATGGGATCAGCTTGGCTTTGGTCTTAACATTTTTCAGAGTAACAAAGGAGTTCCTTGAATTGCGTGATCTTAGTTAAGCATTGTTCCTTAATGAGCGTTTTCCTGCTTCACTTTCCTAATTTCAAATGTCATGATTAGACCTAAGCCTCGGGGTTTCCAAAAAACCGTCCAAGGCGGTTTAACGGAACATCCTCTTTCATGAAACCATTTCTGAAACCAAATAACCGCCCACCCGAATAAGCGCCCATGGGCGATAATACAAAAGTAAAATATTTCACCATGTGTGTCTAGTTCGCGCGTATTAAGTATTCGGAATGACTCTTCACTTATAGGGAGAGTCAAGCTTCAGTCCCGAATAGTGAAAAGGCATAAGGCTGGGTTTCAACTTTTTACCTGAAATAACTTTCGGAAAACCGGGGTAATATTTAGCTAATTCATGCCCACAACTTCCGATGCTTATTGGTCAGTTAAGTAATCAAGATGACTGACCTACTCATTCAAAACCAAAGTCGAAGGACGCGAGCCGACAGTTGACTTCACAATATCATTATCCCACTGTAAGTCCTATTCGACCACTTTCACAGTACTCACCTCACCTCACCTTATCTTTTTCTCTACCTTTGTGCCTGTCTGGCTCTGTTCTCTCTTGACTTGTGACTTTGATATCCCCCCTCCTCCTCTGTGACGCCCGAAGGCAACTAAAGGGCTAATGATAACTCCCATAAACCCAGCTATTTGAAATAAATACTAAGAGAATATGGTTGAAATGAATGTAAAATGATGTATTTGTTTCTGGATTTTCCAGAGAATTACGTTAGCCGAATTCCATTCCAGAATCACTAAATTGCCAGCTCTAATTTTATCAAAGCCAGAATGCGCCTTATTGGTGTGTAGGAAATAGGCTGTAGTATTTACGGGACAATATTAGCTCCTAATCAATCAACGTTAGGGCCAGCAAATGAGTCGAATTCCTTGGGTCATGATCGATAATGCAATTGCTTTATTGGTCAGTAGAGACTTTGCGTATTTGTAGCCGCGATGACATGATTGACGTCTAAACGAATAAAATAGGTGAAGATGACCAATTTGCAAAACCCATGAAAAATGGGATTAAATTATTTGCTTTCCTACTTCAGATTATCAGTCGCAATATTTTGCAGTAATTTGTTTGGCCAAAAAGATGACGCATTTGCAGTATCTTATTTTTCCACGGTCCAGGCACAGTTTAATTGAGCGTTAACTCCGTAAATTTTGAAATCGGTACATTATTAGATTTTAATTACAAATTGTCTCAATTTGAAGTAGCTTCGTAATTAAAAGTAGAGGTTTTAATTTTAAATTCGGTTACAAATTAATAAGTCAATTTTTATATGAAAAAAATGTATTTTTGTTTTAGAAACTGAAGGCGGTTTTTCTAATGAATATGAAAGATTGTGCAAAATGAAAATCGATATTTTTCTACTCGTCTATTTCTTTCGCAGACAGAGAACCTTGTAATCTTCCACACTGTGTTCTTCTCCTCCATGAGGTATATATGCGCAATCGTGACCATTATGAACCTAAATACATAAATTTCAAAGCATTAGTTGGTTTCACTGTCAAAGGATCGGTTGGTTAAGCAAAATCAAATGAACTGACCTTTCCGACACATTTTTCCCCGTCCACTTTAGCCCTGCAAATGTAGAGGGGCTCTCCATCCTCAGCTATTCCTCCAACAATTGCGTTTTTGGGAACATTTCCTCCACTATCTTCTCTCCACTCATAGCTACAATTTAAAGAAATAAGCGCATTTACCAACTCAAATTCTCCAACAAGAATGTGCAAATTTATCGCCAATCGATAAAGCAAAACTGGCCTTGATAAACACTCAACTGTACCAACTACGCGTCTTTTCAAGTCTCAGGACAAAATTTGTGGGAAGGTTCATTTAATGAGAGGGTTTTTAATAACTTGGGAATCTAAGTTTCTGAATAAGCTATAAACTACAAAATTTATTGAAAAAAACTAATTTATTAGGCGTTATATACTCTCTCTCTCTCTCTCTCCCTGCTTCAATGGAGAAAATTTGTAATCAATTGGCACTATAGTGAACAACAGGTGATTACTCTCTTCAAAGTCCAAATGTTTATTCATTTATTTATTTCAAATGGCAGGCGTTTTGATGGTTATCATTAGCCCTTTAGTTGACTTCAGGCTTCACACAAGGAAAGAACATCAAAGTGAGAAAAAGTCGAGAGGGGGATAGAAGAATGAATTACAGATGTAAAAGTGACAGACAGACACAAAGGTTGAATAAAGAGAGGTGAGTACTCTGGTAGTGGTCGAATATGGCATACAGTAGGGTCATGGTAGCTTGAAGTGAGAAGTCACCTGTCAGTTAATGGACTTTTTTGCCGTATGAGTATACGTTGCCCGGGGTGCACCACGTGGAGGTAAGTCTATCGCACTCTGGCATCTCCTCAGTTGCGGACAAATCTTTCGCCTTTTACTTATCTCAATAATAATAAAGAGCGAAGATAATTCGCGATTGGCTCAATCTCCCAATTATATCTGTATTGTATCGAACAATGCTAATTTATTTAAGTTAGAAAACCAGAGAAATAATTTTATCAGCATCATATTGGTAATAATAATAATAGCTCCTGACTATTTTCAAATCCCTATTTCACAGAGCTGGTAAGCATCATGAAGCCTGCCTGGTGAGAACCTCCACCCCATGTATTACCCAGACTTAAGAGCTCCAATTGGCTATTCCGAACACTGATCGTTCATTGAATGAGTTCCAAAACCATAACGACATTGCTAGGAGTGGATGTATAGCCACCAGCGCACAATTTTGAAGAAATCAATAATGCCAGCGGATATTGCATTTATGTGAAAGATAAGGATAAATTAATTAAAAGCCGCATTCTTACCAGCATCCAGTTGAGGAGATGCATGTATCACAGAGGATTTCGCATTCCTTAAGTTCGTGCTCAGCACCACCGTAGCTAACATAACAAGTTCCATATTTTTCAACGTATTTCCCAGGTATCTGCTCGCCGTCCTTACAACCCCTAGCAACGTAGACACCATCTCCAATATCAATGGCTCCAGGTGGAACTCCTCTTCCTTTAAGAGGTACCCAACTTACACCAATTTGAAATCCTTTACCAACTTTAGCCATTTCGGTTTAGCTAAAATTAAAAAAAAACATATAATTACAAAATAGACTCACACTTCTTTTCCTAGTCAGGTAATAAAGAAATAGATACAACACTCTTTAATGAATGTGGTCTGAGGGTTTAGTCATCCTAACCCTACATCTAATAATCTGTTTCCACAACAAAACTATTGAATGCTGTTCTTGATTAGAGATTCAAGGCACGCAGGGTTGTAGTCAAATAGCTAAGACCTAAATAATGAATTTAATTCTCAACTGTAACAAAAAAAAATATACAATCCCTAATAATGATTTGATTGGCGGTTAAGTTTTATATAGCCACATTTTGGAAAGAAATGGTTAAGGTATTCACACAGCAGTAAATTGACTTTAATTTTAAATTAAACCATAAATATTTATTATATGAATAGAAACTAATGAATAAAGGGTCAAACATATTGCAAATGCGTTTGAGTTGTAAAGTAAATGAATAAAAGGGACCATTCACATCTTCCACGTAATATTTTAGTCACAATTATCACATTACCGAATACCGATAAGTTGGGAAAAATAAGGTTTCATTTGGGTAAAGGCAACTCAGAGGAACTTTATACAAGAAATTTATCAAAGAAAAGTAACCCAAATAGAAACTTTTATAGATTCGAATATACAAGATTAAAAAAAATACTGAATATTTTGCCGGATCTCTGTGTTTCAAGCATTATAGTGGTGGAGTGTGTTCAATGAGATAAAATATTGAGGATTTTTAAAAGGTAATAGCTGTCATATTAGTTGACTTTATAAAAAAGTTATTATTTCTGATCTGTGTAGGCTGGAACAAGGTATTAGCACTTTAATAGCAGAAAAGCCATTATAAAAAGCACGAATATATGAGGATCTTACATAACAGAGCGCACGAACCCCGCACCTTTGTAACCATATTTACTAGTCTGTTTATATAGAAAATTGTGTTTCGACCTTGCAATTGACCAATCGACTACAAGTCAAGATATTTGCATTGGATCTTATGTGCTTGAGTCAGCTAATCACCAAAATAGCGTGGTACCACAACTAAGCGTGAATTACAGATTAAAGTAAACTGCAAATGTCAGCTTTGCAAAATGTGATGGCAACTTGGTATATTGGAAATGGCTCCAAATTTAGCTACTAAACATTAATGAGCTGAATTCGAAAAATTGCTTGCAATACTTACTTGGTATGGCCTTATTAAAATTTCATTTAGGCGTTTATATTACAGTAGTCTAATAGTTACTCCCTCCTGTTGTCTTCAACAGTGCCGATGCTTTATATTATTAAAATAGGAAAAAACTCTCCGAAATACTTGAACTTAATTTTTCTGCACAGGGCTGTGGGATAGACTTACCTCCACGTGGTGCATTCTTGGCAACGAATACTCATACGATAAAAAAGTCTATAAACCCCCAGTTGACTTCTGACTTCAAACTACCATCATCCCACTGTACGTCATATTCGACTACTTTCACAGTTCTCAACTCACCTTTTTTCTACCTTTATGTCTGTCTCTTTTACATCTTTGAAACACTCTTCTGTCCCCCCCCCCTCTCGACTTTTTTCACAGTGATGCTTTTTCCCATCCGTGAAGCCTGAAGTCAACTAAAGGGCTAATGATAACTATCAAGACGCCTACCATTTGATATAAATAAATTTTGCTGCTCACTGCCTCACCTCCACAGATTTGTGACTTTCTAATGATTTCTTTGAATATATTTCAGTTCACCGATTTTGGTTTATACAACTGTGACTACATAAATTTAAAATCAACACCCAAAACAATAGCTCATTTACATTCCACCGCCTCTACCATGTCCTGTGGGTGGGTCTGGATGCGCGCTTTGTCCTACCATACAAACCCTCTCTGTTTCGTTCTCACGATTTCGTCAATTGCAGTCTTACCCAACTGCTTTTCTGGTTCACTGTCGTTTTGTAATTAGGACTTATAACAAATAAAACCACTGGACAATAAATATATGGATAATATAGAGCCGTTTGGATTAGCCAACGAGGAGAGAAACTCAAAGACAAGGGTGAAAAAGTCTATTGAATATGAAAAGCAACTTCTCACCATTGCTCGTCTTCAGTGCAAGTACTGCAGAGAACAACAAGGTTTCCTCAAGTCATTTTGATACTTTCACCAACTTCATTAAACATTGGTTGAACTTTATCTTTGTGGATATGTATCCAGCTTGGCATTTTGTTTTAACTGAAATAAATAGTGTAGGAATTGACCTTGTACCAAATTGATGTATATTCATATATACTGCTGTAATATCCCCAAAATTCGACGCACTCTTAACATCTAAATTGAAGGCAAACTTAAATGATACTTAGATTATAAAGTAAATGTAAAACTGGTTTCAAAATCGTCAATATTATCAACCAGCTAATTATTGGGAAAAGACGTACCAAATATGGATTGACCAGCCGGTAATCACTTGATCAATAAACGTTGTAACATTAGAACACAAGAAATCGCAAAAATCGAATAAAGTAAGACTCATTTAGAATCATGTCTCCTTATCTTCTACGTGTCTACCTCAGATTACTTTCCAGAAACAAAGTAATATTTTCTGTGCCTTTCCATGGGTCAATATGACATGAAAAATGTCTGCAATTTTTAATCTAATATAGAATAGCAGATTTATTGAAAGTGTTAGATCTTGGACTTATTCGATAAAGCATGCCCCAATCACAATTTTTGCAACATCAGCGCGTGATTTAGTTCTTGATTTTAAGAATTAAATTAGAAATCAGGTTTGCTCTTGGATTTTGTTTACCATTAGAACGATGGACAAATCATGATTTCGATAAGCATAATGAGTGTTCCGAAACGTTACGCATTACGCATTAAAAGAAAACAAGTATTAAATGTGCTCGATAAAGAAAATAGAGGAAAGAGACTATCCTATTTCATAAGATTTATTAGATTTGAGATTCAAAAATAATTATTAGAATACTTATTGAGAGAAACCGTTAGCATTAAAAAGGAATAATTAATCTGAACTAACCCATCCCCTAAATAAGTCAATTAAGTGGTCAGAAGTTAAGAGCACTTTTAGCACGAATTCACTCAGAGAAGAGAACAATTCTTGAAATTGGGATATTAAAAAATCAGGAGTAAAGAGCAACTATACGACCATAACCCAGTGTAATGTATTGGGAATTGCTTCGAAGGCACAAGAAGACCCCGAGATAATATTGATCTGGAAAAGAACTTCGTTTGATTTATTATCGGTAAACTAGGAGAATCATTGCTGACAAACTGAAGTCAAGCACACATTTGACGACACGGTGAATGACATGACGATGGTGACAAAGTCAAGTCACAATTTCCGCGTATCTGTGCGCTACATATAGGCTGAACATTCCAATTTCATTTGCCCTCCTTCCATTAAAGCAGATTTCATTTGCTTACATTAATATACTAGACGATGTAAAATTAACCTTTCCCGTGTTTAAAAACGTCTAGGCTCGAGCAATTGCAACTATAACATCGCAAATGTTGAATTGTTTTAAATTTAGATGGATTTTGTTATTGTCTACCCTTCAATTAATTTTAATTTTCATTCGAGTGAAGATGACTTGCTAGCCATGAACTGCACTATATTATATTCTGATTTAGGGGGTGTGCGATAGACTTACCTCCACGTGGTGCACCCTGGGCAACGTATACTCATACGGCAAAAAGGTCTATTAATCGGCAGTTGACTTCTCACTTCGAATTGCCATCACCCCACTGTATGTCATATTCGACCTCTTCCACAGTACTCATCTTACCTTTTCTCTGCCTTTTTGTCTGTCTCTGTTGCATCTGTGAATTATTATTCTGTCCCCCCTCTCGGCTTTTTGTCACTTTGATGTTCCTCCTCCTCTCTGCGAAGCCCGAAGTCAGCTAAATGGCTAATGATAGCTATCAAAGCGCCTGCCATTTGAAATAAATAAATAAATATTCTGATTTGTAAAGTCTCTAAGCTGTAATCCATTCTAACAGTCACGTGCGTATCTGAGAGAGGTTATCGAAACTTGACCAATGGAATCTGTTATATTCTCTTTGTTCATGACTTTGTTCAAATTAACGATTGTTTGTCAGTAATTTCTTCGCATTTTTGGGTATTTTTTTAAAGTTAACAGCCTTAAAATAATATGATGAAACATGTGTCCTCTCAAAAGTTGCCGAAAGAGATGAAATTATCACATATGAAACTAATAAACTTCTTGTTATGAGAAATTTTACTGTGGAGAGTCTGCCTTATTAAGTGGATAGGTGTCTAAAAGTCATGTCAAATATTTTAAGCTGGTATATCTGGCGTATATTGTGTCAGAATGACGTAATATTGCGCAATTAACACATTTCATTAGAATTTCATTCTAAAACGAGATCATACAAATGGTTTTTAATGCATTACTCCTTTGCATTCTTAATGGGATAAAAAAGTTGTTTGATGTTGGGATTAGAAAATGCCACTAATAGCAAACATTTTTTCATTCAAATTTCCCATTGCATGACAGAAATGAACAGATCTTGTGGAGTGCATAACGTTAACAGGGCTGAATTAAGCAATGTCATTGTATTGAACCGGTGGCCTTAATGCTGATCGCGTAAGGGAGAAAATACGGTTGATAGGGCAGTGACCTTCCAACCAATCAAAAATCAATAGTCATTGATGGGTCAGCGTACCCAAAAACTTCATTTAATGAATAAGCTCTGTGCCAATGCCAACACAATCTGAATAAACGCATTCGAGGTCATACTTCTATTATTATCTCGATATATTTTGAAGCAGCTTAGCCGATTTCGTGAATAATTTCCTGCAAATGGTTTTTGCAATAGAGATTGACAAGGTTTAGTCATGGCTACAATCTCCATCATGTTGGCTCAATTGACCCAGACAACAAATGTGCTCTGGAATATTCTGACTCGCCTCCTACACACACGCGTTCATGAAAGCGTATATTAAATTCAATTGTATTATTGTATTATTGTA